CATCAGGGAGGGCTGGGAAGGGGTGGGGTTACTCCATTTATCTGAGGGTTGGAGAAAACAGTTGGTGTCAGAGTGAAGATGCTGCTGGCTGAGGATGGTGACCTTGGAGCGTGAGAGTGGCAGTGGCTTCTGGAACTTTCCCTAAACAGTGCATAGCCCCCCTCTCCTGCTGCCTGTCAAGCACCCCTTCCAACTTGAGCCCCTTCCGTGGGTCCTGTCTACACCTCAGCATGTTGGAAAGGTTGTGTGATGTAGGATAAGTGCCAGATTGCCTGGCTGCACACCCTCACTCCACCACTACACACAAGCTGTGTGATCTTGTGTAAGTTACTTAACCTCTCTGTGCCCTAGTTTCCTCATCTGTAAAATGGGGGTAACAGTAGCACCTGCCTGACCTGTTGCTGTGAGGCTTAAATGAGGTAATACATGTGAATCATTTATTATAGAACAGAGGCTGGCACATGATTAGCTCTTGTCAGAGCAGATGGTGGTTCCTTACCATGACCCCTGTGGTTGTCAGATGAAGGATAGGATCGAGGCTCTTGCTGTGCCCAGGAGGCCTTGGGAGGACAAGCTGTGTCCAAGAGGAACAGAGGTAGTGTTAATCACCTGGACAATGTCACCCAAGAGGCGAAGGGAATCCACACGTAGAGCTTTCCATGAGGAAAGGCCTCTCTCACCTTCTCTTCCCTCTCTGGACTTTGGAGTCCTGCTGGATGGAACCTGCTGGATGGAGCCCAGGGTTGCCTCTCCAATTCCAGCCCTTCTGATCCAGGGATGTATTAGCCTTGACTTTGAGGCCTGAGGTCATAGAAGCACAGGGCAATGGTAAAAGGGGGTGTCCCAGGAAACTAACTCTAGATCCTGCTGTGCCACTTTTTAGCTGCATGATAGCGGGCAAGGGACTTAACCTCTCAGTGCCTCAGTTTCCTCATCTGTGCATGAGCTTGCACTAGGTCGTTGCAAGTGGATATTGTAGCTCTAAATGCTCAGGACGTCAGCACACCCCACAGCTCTCACCTTCTCCCTCCGCTGCCACAGCCTCCCTCTCCCTGGAATCGAAACCCCCTCCACCCCCCACCGTGTTTCCTGTCCCAGTGAATTGAATCACTCCTGTCCACCCAGACCAGTCAACTCAGGGCTTCTGAGCCTCAGCACTGCTGACATTTTGGGTTGGATAACTTTTTTCTTGGTGGGGGACTGTCCTTTGCAGTGTAAGATGTTTACCACCAGATGCCAGTAGCAAATCCACCGCCCTCCCAATTGTGACAACCAAAAATGTCTCCAGATTGACAAATGTCCCTGTGGCGGGGGCGGACGGGGGTGGGGGGTGTAGACAAAGTCACCCCTGGTGGACAGTCACAGAGTTAACTTCATGGTACTATGAAGTCTGTCTGTGATGTCTACCCCACGTTTTTCTACTTGTCCACTTTACTACGCTGCTCTGAGCCACCATCACACCTCCTGGTCACTGCGGAGCCTCCCCCAGTGGCTTAGGTCGGCTGCATTCGTCCTCCACACTGCAGTGGGAGTGCTCACCCGAGAGCAAAGCAGTCACATCACTCCCCTGCAAGGTGCTGCTGTGGCTCCCACTCCCGCAAGACCCCCTCCTGTCTCTGTCTGCTCCCTGACTGAGCCCCAGCCGCAGAGCAGCTCCGTCCCTAACCGTGCAGTGTGTGCGCGCATGCGCGCGCTCGTCCTCGGACCCTCAGGCCCTTTTCCTCCCTACAACACTCTTCACCCCCCACCTCCCCCACCCCACCCCCACTGACTGCCTCACCTAAGTATTCTCTCCGAGACTCCTCCCCTTCCCATAGCCCCAGCACTCCATG